GCAGTGTGTTCTGCCAGAATTGGTTTTCCCCATACTTATTTCATGCATCCAGATTTTTCCCATGGGGCTGTTGCATAACTATTTTCGTATGGTTGAAGCCATGCCACCAGTCTTGTGAAAGAAAGTGGTATGGACATGAAAAATTGCTCCTGCTTAAAAAATTGCCACGGAAAGTGCAGTATGTTTCTGTCTGCATGTGCATCAAGTTTATACAGTGTGGATAAACAAAAGCATATGAAGAAGTGATAACTATACATGGGAGCCATGGGGAAGGGGTGGGAGATGGAGAGACAGAAGAACGATTGAAGGACTACTTTACCTCAATGGAGTGGCCCTTTAATTAAAACACTGCAGTGTAGAATCTAGCTACATTCAATGCTCTCATATGAAAAGCATTTGATAGACCATGCACACAGACCTTGTCACCAATTCTCCTCTATAAGGAGCATTGGATTGAATTAATGAGTATCTACAATGGCGTTGTGGGAGGGGGAGCGGGAAGCAGCACTGAGGGATTCTCCGCGCTGGAAAAAGGTAAGTAAAGCTTGTATTTATCATGCTATAGTGTTACATGATCTCCAATAGGAAGACAGCAATTTGAAACAAAAACTGTGGGATATATCAACCTAGCATTGAGATAATCAGTGTCTCTCAAAAAATAGTGGCGTAGTAAGCATGAGTGTCACCGAGGTTGGGAAAGGAGAGTAAGAAGAACTTTGCCTGACAAAGACCACGCAAACAGCGAGACTGTTTCATTGAAGATAGCCTTGTTTTATTAAAGGGTTATTATTGCCATCAAAAACAACATTAGCTTAATTATGGCGTTTAAGTTTATAGATCGCACCCCTGCAGTCCTTTCTGTTTATGCAGCCCTAACTACACCTTCCCTGTATGTGCCTGACACAGCCTGCATGAAAGAAATGGTTTAAATTTTCATTTAGATGTTGAAGAGACACTCTTAACTCACATGTTGGGTGCCTGTAAAGCACCTGCATTCATACACAAACCATATATATCCATATCTATATCCATATCCTCAAAACACTTCCCTCACTCCACTCTGCTTTAACTGCAGTTATATAGCTGCTCACAGCCCCTACAGGTGAGGCTAATGACCTCATTAGGCAGTGAGCCAGAGCTCCTTAGAAAACCTGGGCTGGACTCATGCACAGCCACTCTGACAGTGGGTAGAGAATCGGCCCACCCTGCTCTTCCGAATACTCCACCCCAGGGACCCAAATAACAGAGGAAAAAAAAAAAAAAAACCTATATTTAACCTTAACTTTCCCTGGGGCTGCATGTGCTTAACCACATGTCAGGATAGTGGCTGCGCAAAAGTCTGGGTGCCAGATATACACCCCTGACCACCATCCCCAACACTCTGTCAAAAAAAATATATATATAGTATCTTATCTAAGGCATGTGGGATGTGTATGAATGCAGATGGGAGGTATTAACTGGGGATAGGAAAGTGGGTCAAAGTGGATCAAGAATGCATGCTAGGCTGACAGAGATGCGGTGGCCAAATCCGCAATCAGCTGCTCATGAGTAGATTGCTTATGAAGCTTTCATAGTATATTGGGTGAATACAACAAGAGTACTTTGCACAGCGTATAAAATCATGTGTTATCTCTGCACCCAGTGGCTCTAGATGTAGGACACGAGTTAACAAACCATGGATGGCAGAAGAGTGTCCCTTAAATAATAGAAACCCATGCAGTATAACTGTAGTCTAACCTACACAGTGCACCTAACGTGTGTGGGAGCCTGGAGTGTCCCTTTAATAATATAAACCCACCCAGTATAACCAACTGTAGTCTAACCTACACAGTGCATCTAACTTGTGTCGGAGCCTGGAGTGTCCCTTTAAAAAGGACCCGCTAATGTCACCCAGACCAATTCTAATAAATTAAGTGGTCCTGTCATTTAAAACTTTCAAGATAAAACAGTCATTTTGCAGAAAGGTCAGTGTTTACCTTGAAGGGTTAAACCCTCAATCTAGTGGCTCTACCTATAGTAAAACCCCGTCACGTGACGTGGAAGTGCAAAGGAAATCATTGCATGCAAAGACTCTACAATGATATTGCAGGAGGTAGAGAGGTGAATCATATTTTCATTAATTTTACCTGAAAAACGAGATGAGGGAGTTAAATATAACTAGGAACCGGTGCAGTATAGGTTTAGGAATACAGGTTTACATTCCTAATGCTCTGGAGTCCCTTTAATGTCAGGGGTAGATGTGTGATGCATCCACATTCTGCCTCATGACATGACTTCAGGATCACATTCAATCCACCTACCTAACAGAGTAGGACATTCTGCTTTGGTAGTGGTTTGTCTACCTTTGGATGTGCTCTTGCAGCTGATGGATGATATTTTATTTTTGTTGTGTGTGTTTGTACTCTTTGTTTCTCTTTTTGGCTAGAATTGCTTGTAACATGCTCAAACTGTTTCTTTCTTGTTGTCTTCAGTTAGGCTATTATTTCCACCTGCAGAGCTGATTCACCAAAGCGTCACTGTTTCCATGTACATTATGCAATGCTCCATTTCTTACTCCACACGGGTACTTTCTTTCTCTTCAGTTTTTCATTCAGTGCAAAACTTGCTTTTATTCTAATCTCACTCCCTTTCACGTTAAAGGGATACTGCAATAAAAAAGAAAAAGAAATAGGAAATAGAAAAAAAAATTTTTTTTTAAATCGTCAAATGAAGAAAGTTTACATTACCGTATGGATCTAAGCTGGTAAATTAATTGCTCAAGATCAATTATTTTCAACACGTGTGTGTTTTATTAGTTTCCCCAAAACAAAGTTTTAATTCAAGGAACACTCCGAATGCTATCACGTTTAAAATATGTACTATTTCAAGCCTAGGACTGCAGCAGATGTTCGTGGGAAGAGCTGACAGACACCAGATTCAAGACTTAGGGGGTTAAAGCATTTAACCTCTTGAAGGAAGGTGGTACCCGGGTTCTTCCTCACACCATAACAACCTCATTCCGATTAAGTTGTTTTGGTGCTGGGACTATGTGTGTATGTATGTGAGATTATATGTGTGTGAGATTATATGTGTGAGTGTGTATGTATGTGAAAGTGTGTGTGTGTGTGCGCGCGCATGTATGTATGTGAGTGTGTGTTTTGTTTTGTTTTTTACAAAAACTTAAGCTCCTGCAGGCAGAACATGAAGAGGAATTGATATGCTTTAAAAATGAAAAAAAAAATATATATATTTTTTAATTACTTTGAAAAGTACTCCGTCAACGACTTTCCCTGTACCATCCGTAGAAGCATGTAAATAATTAGTTTTGACCTCCTACTGCGCAATGTAAGCACTTTCCTAGAGGCAGTAAGTGTGCTGCTGTTACAGTGTAAACATATTTACTGTAATGATATGGATCAGCAGCAGTCCAAGTCTAAATTATCTCTGCATTCCACTGGGTGAGCATGCCTAGTCACTTCCTGTTTGTATGGATGGATCATATGTACCAATACATCCCCCATCCCCCCCTACTTTTTCTTCCCCCTGGAACTTTTTTCATGCATATGGAATTTTGCTGTCAAGATGATGGTAGTGTAGATGATGCGTTTTACCACACATTTTAAAATATAAAAAGCAAATAATTCACGAACTTTAAAACTGATTTTTAGACACATAACAGGGACTGGAGAATATTGAATCCTATCTGATTAAAGAACACTTGAAACCCTTAAAATCAATTTGGCTTGAGGGGTTAAGAGCTCCCACTCGTTCAAACCTTCTAAAAGTGATGATTTCAGGTACAATAGGTCTTTCTTTTTAAAGGTGGTAAATTGAACCCTCCCAGCTGGCATGCATATAGCCAGGATAGTGCCACTGCACAAAAGTGTTACTTCTCATGGTGAAGTATTGGATTCAATGTAGCAGTTGCCACACATGCATTCTGATTCACACTGGAAGATCATCAAAAGCTGTACTATTGAAACTAGAGAGAAATGCAACATGTCGGACTCCAAGAATAGTGGAGGTGGACACATGGAGTATAGTTAACAACTTGTCCCATTGTACAGAGCTACGAAATTTGCTGGCGCTATATAAATAATAAAAATTGAAATATTTTAACAAAAAGCTGTTTAATACATTGGCCTTGTTTAGTTGCTTGGGGTTTCCCTGTAGGCTTTTTACAAGTGTAAGGTCTATTTAGCTGTAGGGAACTTAGTGCCGAAAAATTGTTTATTTATCCAGTTTTTTTTTTTTATTGTGCACGAGATAACATGAAAGCTGACAATGCCACAACAGCATAGAACAAACCCATTAAAACAAGGGATTTCACATACGTGGCTTTGAATTATTGGCACATTTTTCATTTTGTATGAGGATAAACAAGCTAGGTATATACATCTAACTGTAAGTTACCATAATAGCAAGCAATAACATCAGCATGAGTAACGTGGTGGACCTTATAAGCAGATTAACTTCGATGCAATTTAATGAGGTGTATGTTCTGGCAGCATGACTAGTCTGGATGATGTTACTCATTTCGCTGGTCTAAGATAGGTATTAAGGTGACAGGCTTAACATAATGCTCACGAAACATAGCATATTATAAATTAATAATTACATAAAGCAAGATAACATTTACACCTGTGTTGTCCTATTAAATTGACATGCTCTGGTTTAGTGGGGATTGCCGCTTAAACATTAACCAGCTTAGTTTAAAAATTGCCGCAGAAATACTGTCTATAGCAGACAGCTGGGTAGCAGAATTGAGGGGTAGGGAGATTATCAACTGGGGGGGACCCCAGTGCTGGTGCCTAATGTGAGGTATGTCCTCGTTGCTAACAAGGAGAGGTGATCTAAGTGGCAGACTATAAAAAAACTAATAGAAAAGTAAAAGAGTAGCACAAAATCACAAGCAAAAACAATGGATCATCAGTTACGTATAGAGGCAGTATGAGGCATGGGATGATTGAGTCAGCAGCAGTTTCGAGTGTCCCGGTCAGCCAATACCCTCCAGAGGCATTTCACAGTCCCGTTTGGGAGTGGGCGCCCATGTGCATCTTAGCCTCAGTCGCGGCAACAAGAGCCTGGAAACTGCTGTAATCGCAGTAATCCTGGTAAGTGTCAGACTGGTAGTCCCCATGTGTTTGAATTGCGTGTCGGTCAAGTGTCCGCCCCGGGCAGGATACAGATCCCAATAGCCTTGCTGATCTTCGGATGCAATACCGCAGCTGAAGGCAGTCGGTCCATGCTTGTCGGCCCCAACACGGGGGTTTGGGAGGTATTGCAAATAAGGCTAGTACGTTGGAGCGGTGTTTCATTCTGTAGGCATGTCTGGTTAATAAACTGCAGGCGCCAGCCTCCGCTGGTTGCTTGTAATGCTGCTTGCGTCGGCGTGGTGTGCCTCTGGCTTCTCCGTCATAACTTGTCTTGTCCCAGGACCAGGTCCTGGATTCCATGTGGGGTCTTAGCTGGTATTCGCCGGTTCTCACTCAGCCCGCGCCGGCAGTCCACCATTGTGGAGCCAAGTGAGGGGGGAGAGTCGGTCTTCCCTCTTGCATAGGTGGCTTAACACGCGGTCTCCGCCATTTTGGATGCGGCCTCAGAGCCCTGGGTTGGCCCTGCCGCAGCTCGGCGTGCTGGTGATTTTGCATACATAGGGGCCATAGGGTGGGGATCACACCCACCGGTCCAGAGGCGGGGGGCGGGGAAGAAGGGGGAAACAGGGCCAGGACCAACGAGCCTTGTGCTGCTAGCATGCTGCCGGTAGGCAGAATAGCAGGGCAGTGGCCGTCCACCACGCTCACCACCTGAGCGAACCCCATCTTGGATGACAGAGAGGACTCCAAGGGACTAGACCTTTACAGCAAGCCTTTCCTCAGGGCCAGGGTGTCTGCTTGCACTGGGTCACAGCTGCCAGTTGTCAGGTAAGTATTAAGTCGATGTTTTGGGGCTAGTAATAGAGAAGACTGCAGGAGCTGCTCTGTTGTGTGACCATTCAGCATGGCGGTCCGGCCCCGCCCCCCTATTTATCCTGTTTTATTCATACATTTCTAGGAAGTCCTTGGATTGCACAAGTAGTGAGAGCAGCTGCGCTATACCAGACAGTATAATATTTTAAAATGGGTAGTATGTACGTACTCTAAAATCCCTTAATGTCCATAAAAAATTTTTTATATATACACTTTTCATAATTGACTGCGGAGTCCAAGTGCTACAATTTGTAATAAGTCCTCATATTGCAATGCATGTGTTGGTACAATAGTATAGGTCAGGCATAGGCAACCTTCGGCACTCCAGGTGGTTTGGACTACACCTCCCATGCCAGCATTATGGGTGTAAGAGCATTATGGAGGGGGATGTAGTCAACATCTGGATTGCCAAAGGTTGCCTGCGCCTGGTATAGGTTATATCTTCTAATATAGTAAATCTAAATAAACACTCAAAGCACCATAAACACTGCACTGTGGTTATGGTGCTTAGAGTATTGTTTTTTTTTTTTTTTTTTTACTTCTTACCTGGGGAGAACCCTTTTCTGAGCAGAAAGCAACATTTTTCTAGCGGATATTTTGTATTGACCTTGAAGCACTTATCTGCTTCCCAGCTGTCTTTGTCCAGTATAAACAAAATAACTCTCTCATAACATAAATCTATCATATTTTATCAAGAGCACATTTTAGTTGGAAGAACACAAGTCAGTCTAAAAAGGAGAGGCAGGGCTGTCTGATGCCAGGAGGACCGATTTCATAAAACAATTAAAAAACAGTTTAACCCCTGGAGGTAAGATGGTGTCCAAACACTCGTACCCCATTACTGCTTAATTGAGATGAAATGGTTATGGGGTGAGATGAGAGCACTCCTTTAGCGTTTAGTTCCTGTTGTGTATGGTTGATTTTATTTTTAGGTTAAATTACTACAAAGAGAGAGTTCCTTACAAAATTTACTTTTTGGCTGCTAAAGTGAAGCTAGAATTAAAAAAGATTGAAAAACGGGTGACTCAATGCATTGTCTCAGGATTTCCATGTGGGATTTGTAAAGCAAAAGAGCTGAAATGTTGTTCATTTTCTAGGGTTTGCTCTAGACACCTGTTTGATGTTATGGATGTTGTCTTTCCCATAAATCAGATCTGCCACTTTTCTGCTAAACCTGCTCAGGGCTTATCCAGACTCTGAAATGCTCTCAATGGGTTTCCAATCCTCATCAAAATGTCACAAATAAAATGCACATTTCCAAAAGACGCATAGACTTACACCCGCCTGTCCAGGTTACTATCCTTACTGCAATTAATTTCACTAAACCCATTCCTGATTCTGTAGAAAATTACCTTTTATATTCACTAGAATATAAGAATTATTCCCATTGTCTCTTCATCCCCAAATGTGTTTACCCTTTGATCATTTTAAACAGCAGCATCTGTTTTACATTTTAAGAAGGACTGTTTATACCAGTTATCAACAAATTGTTCTGTTCTCTTCTTTTTGTGATTGAAAATGGGAGCTGGGCTTGGCGTTACACTAAGGGAGCTGCAGGAAGGTAAACAGTATTGCTTGGAAGGTTTTTGAAAACCAGAATCAATATTTAGGCTAAAAAGTAGAAACTCACAGGTTTCTATTTGAACAATAAATGACTTCACGTTTAGCACAACTATACTTCCTACAGGTTTTGTGGAGTTCCAGCTCGTAACACTATCACCCAGTGGGCAGCGAGCTTTATTGGAGGTCAATGGTTCCTGCGGCCCTGCTCTGTAGCCAACAAGGTTTCTTCCCAAGGACCTGGCATGGGTTTGGATTTGAAAATCGAATACCCTCATTTTATCAATGATACTTTTTCCCCCAGGTAAAAACATGGAATTATGTATAGCATTTGAAATGTCTGTCAAGTCCTCACCTTTACCATTAGATAGCCTGGCAAGGGCCTATAGAGATCATGGCTTGTTTCTAGAGTATTTGCAAAACAAACTGGATATATGTGCCATCAGTGCAAATTCACATTTTGCTGGTCAGAATTTTAAGAGTCCAGAACCTCTGGGTCTGATGGAGGTTGTGCATAATTCACAGCCCGTGCAGATTAAAAGGACCACTATAGTGCCAGGAAAACACTTGTTTTCCTGGCACTATAGTGCCCAGAGGGTGCCCCCACCCTCAGGCTCTGGGGAGAGGAAGGGGTTAAAATCTTACCTTTCTGCAGCACCGGGCGGGGAGCTCTCCTCCTCCTCCTCCTCTTCGGCTGAATGCGCATTCACAATGCTTTCCTATGGACGCTGGCGTCTTCTCACTGATTTTCACAGTGAGAAACACGCAAACGCCTTTAGCGGCTGTCAATGAGACAGCCACTAGAGGCTTTAGAGGCTGGATTAACCTATTTATAAACATAGCAGTTTCTCTGAAACTGCTATGTTTATAAAAAAGGGGTTAACCCTAGCTGGACCAGGCACCCAGACCACTTCATTAAGCTGAAGTGGTCTGGGTGCCTAGAGTGGTCCTTTAATAAGATCACAGTGGAGAATCTGGCTTCCACTTCTAGACAACGCTGCTCCCATTTATGGCACCGAAGATCTCTCACAAGCCAGCCTCACTCTCTATTTACGGCTAACCAGCCACAATAATGTCACAGGGACTGCTGGGTTCATATTTATCTCTTTAGCTATATATTTACATCTTGTAAATGTTTAGATCAGGTCTTTTTTTTTTTTTCTAGAAACATTTTATCATTTCGAGTATGTAATGAGCAAAATTTCCCTTCCAAAAATCAGGAATGCCATCACAACCTTGAATTTACTGAAAAACAAATGTGAGCATAAGTTGGGTAAATCACCCACGCATTACAGCTCACACCTGTCAGAGAAGGTAAGGAGAGAGGACATACAGCTGATTAGAGGCTTCAGAAGTAAAATAAATAAATAAAAAAGTCACCAGGGGCACACATGATGGCCATTGATGTCACTGGTGCTAGACTACACAGACCTCTTCAGCAAAGGAGGAGGGATAGAGTAGATATATGTGAACAGGTTGCAGTTCCCCAACACAACCCTCATCCGTCAATCTACCCCAATTACCCACAGCCATACACCACACCCATTAAAAGAACACTATTTAGTAGATATACTCCCAAACATACTTCTACCTGATTACTTTGGGGGTATATTTAAAAAAAAAAAAAAAAAAGCTTAACTTTTGTAGTACAGCTCACTGAGAATTGGGGAGGTCAGGCATGCACTAGGATACTAGCAAACTATAGTGCTGTATGTGTGCTCCTTTAACCCAAAACCATACATTCAAACCCATAACCTCAAACATCCAAGAATAACGATTAGCCCCGGCCATCAATCCAAACACATTTTCTACTGAAATCTTCAACACATCTTCCCCAGCCATCTAACATACCTTCTAAGAAACCTTTCAAAAAAATGCAGGGAGATCCCATCTACCAATGTCTCCAACATTGATTCTTTCCTTTGTTTTACAGATTCTCCCTCTTTTGCCAACTAAGGTAACCAATTCAACAACACAGACAGACCATCAAAGAAAAATAAAACAAAAAACCACGAGTAAAGAGCAAGCAAAAATGATTACATTTAAAGTAATTTCCAATGAGTTTGGATGCATAATGCAGGTAAGGTCCACAAGGTATTTACTACAAGCTGTATGTGAATCAACTGGAGGCAATTCAATAAGAATGCAAATCGGAAAAATTTACTACAGATTGTTAACACTGAATGGAGGAATAGGGGCTCCAGTCAATATAACCAGTTCAGTTAGATTAAATGGTTAAAAAGCCTTCAGTGTCCCTTAAAAGCCTGGTTTGTGTGACTGCCATAATGACATTATTCCTGGTTGTACACAAGTCCTGTAGTCATCGTCTTAAACATACGGAAGTGGAGTTCATTTGACATCGCGCGGACACCTCCAGATTATCGAGCTTTGCACTGGCTACAACTTTAGGTCCAAAGGTTGACAGGGAGATTCTGGAGATTTTAAGATGCCTTGAAATACAGATAGGAATGTACTCTCAGGCTTATTACAGCATATGGAAGCCGGCCAGAATCCCTGTGTTGAAAGTGATCTTGTATTTCAGAGGAATCGCTGATAAGTGAGGGGAGAAGAACCAAACCACCTGCAGTTATCCCAAAATAATTATTGTTACTGTAAGTTCTGTGACTAAGATCTGGAGAGTGGAAAAAATAACTTTGACAAGTGTACCTTGCTGTGAGCTGACAGAATAATAATAAATAAAAGATTTTCTTTTCAGTGGACACCTGAAGCACAAAAAACACACACATCATCTTTAGAGAAATGACAGTGTTATAGACTAGAGAATATGTCTGTAGTGGCAGTCAGAGAGACTATTATTCTTTCTATTGAATATGTTGTCTCTTAAAGACACCACTATAGTGCCAGTAAAACAAACATACTAGTTTTCCTGGCACTATAGTGCCCTGAGGGTGACCCCACCCTAAGGTTCCCACTCCCGACGGGCTGGATGAAGAGGAAGGGGTTGAACACTTACCTTTCTCCAGCGCCGGGCTCCCTTGGTGCTGGAGACTCTCCTCCTCCTTTCCCCGTCATCGGTTGAATGTGCATGCGCGGCTGTGCGCGCATTCAGCGAGACTCATAGGAAAGCATTCTCAATGCTTTCCTATGGACGCTGGCGTCTTCTCACTGTCTATTCATCTAATAAGGAAATAGATGCCAGCATCATTTGTCTGATATGGAATTAAAATGATAAGATTAGCTGAGAGATTGCTGGGGACAGTTTGTCAGATTGGTAAAACAATAATGGCTGAGAGTTCTGGGCTAGTTAGTCCACTTCCACATTTACCAAGTCACAGCAGACTATTCACATACTTTAGGGGGATTTATCAGTTTTGCCAAATAATTTGAAAATGGTTTGACACAAAATGGGGAGCTGGCACTGAATACCATTTACACCACAACCACTACAAATAAACTGTAACATGAAAATGTGTGGAACACAGAAATACCTCCCGACAAAAGAATCGAATTACAAACAACAACAAAAAAGGGTCATCAGCATATTTATTCTGCTACTTAGTAATATTTCAGTTACATTTTAGTTTAAAGTTAAAGTACACTATGAATAAGACATACTACCAATTACACAGGTCATACTAATTACAGTATTTGACATAATGACAGCTCCCATTGCCCCTGACAGTTTTGTTAGACCATGTGACAGCCCACATGATGCAAAAAGCCACTTATTATAGGTCACAGCCCCCATTGATTCCAACAAGACACATAGCAGCACTAACCCCAATAATACATATATGGCATGGGACAGCACCATTACCTCCAAGGAGACATGTATGACATCATACCTCCAATAAGACAAACCAAACCTGTAACAAGTATGACGTCATACCTCCAATAAGACACAAACCAAATCTGTAACAAGTATGACGTCATACCTCCAATAAGACACAAACAATGTAACAAGTATGACATCATACCTCCAATAAGACAAACCAAACCTGTAACAAGTATGACATCATACCTCCAATAAGACAAACCATGGAACAAGTATGACATCATACCTCCAATAAGGCAAACCATGTAACAAGTATGACGTCATACCTCCAATAAGACAAACAAACCATGTAACAAGTAGGACATCATACCTCCAATAAGACAAACCATGTAACAAGTATGACGTCACACCTCCAATAAGACAAACATGTAACAAGTCTGACGTCATACTTCTAATAAGACACAAACCATGTAACAAGTATGACGTCATACCTCTAGTATGATATGTAAAAGACGGGTATGACGTCATACATACAGTAAGACACTTATGCCTTTAGGCATTTATGACGTCATATCTCCAATACTCCGTTTATGACGTCATACCTCCAAGCAGCCACGTATGGAGCACACAGTGTGACGTCATACCTCTGTAAACCATGAGGAGCCCCCATTATAACCGGCACCAGGCGAGTCTCTCAATAAAGCCTCAGCTTCAGAGCCATCAGCAGCCCGCATTCGGTGCTGTCATGGCCGCTGCTGTGTCTCCTCCATGACGAAATCCGCCACTTCCCGATTCAGGAACCTCCAGGGCGTGCGCGACTGGTACAGCCGCACTGATTGGCTGCTCCGTGACACGTGACCGCGCAGCGCTCCGGTCTCTGGGAGTTGTAGTGCTGACCTTGGTCCTTGACTAGTTCGGTGACCTGACGCAGCACTACATGTCCCAGAACCCTCCCGGAAATCCAATGTCCGCCATTCTATCCGCTCTCGGATTATTTCCCGCCATTTTATCCTCGCTCGGATTGTTTCCCGCCATTTCACATGTTTCCTTGTCATCCGAGCCGCTAATTAGCCAGGTATGGATTTAGTGATCTTACATGCTCCTTCACACCACAGATTACATACTTGTACTCAATCGATAACGAATGGCTACATTTAAACAAAAAAAAAATAAATAAACACAAAACCCAACGTGGATCTCCTTAACCTGGATTTTGTAAGTTCTCTGTTATTTGGAGTTTATGAAATACGTTTTGATGAATAAATGATGTTATTGTTTGAAGATAAACATGAGCTGTTGTGGAGAATTGACATGGGAATATCAAGTTTTAGGCTAATTTGGAAATAAAGCAATTCGCCTTTTTATATCCTGTCAGACAATTTTGGTTTAAAATGTCTAATAATAGGCGTGCGCTGTGTGTTCTGGTGACCTGATTGCCATTGTCTTCAGAGCCAGGGTGGCACCGGACTGGAGCACCCCAAAACTGGGACCCCCGTGGTAACGGCGGGACGCCTTTATCTCATCTCTTTCTCAACAATTTACCTATTGGGTTATTTTGCTAAATAAAGGCAAAATGTGACAAAATAAATAGTGGCGAAGGAGACCCATTTATTTTTTATGGACCCCTGAAGTCACCCAGCCCACTTTTTCATTGACGTGGTGTGGGTGTAGTGGCCCTGTCCTTTTAACCCTGCAATGTAAAATATTGGGCTTTTGTAGAGAGTGCAGTGTTTACATAAAAGGGCTAAACACACGTCTGATGGCGGTCTCCCTGTCAGCCATCGGAGGAGCTTTTGCATGAAGAACAGTCAGACTTGCTTCTCAATCAAATGCAGTGAGATCTTTGGAGTGGCCTACAGATGCAATTGGGAAGCATTGGATTGGAAGAGATCATCAAAATTGATCATCTTAGCCATGGTAGGGAACATTACATTAGAAATCCAGGTTTGTATTCTTAACCTCTATAGCAGCGGGTTCCCAAACTGTGTGTCAGGCACCGCGACGGGCACACATAGGCGCCACAAGATATTTAACCGTGTCTCCCTCTCCCCTGCCGTCTCTGCAGGACCAGAGGGGAGTTCAGAGATCTCCCTCTCTGGGCCGCTAGCAGTGTAGAGGGGAGGGAGGGAGTGAGAGAGGACAAAGGGGGGGGGTCTAACTTGCAGCTCCGCCGGGTTCTCCCCTTGCGAGCTTGAAGCGTTGCCGGGGTTACCACGCGACACTCCGAATCTCGCAAAAGTGATCTCTAGCAGCTCCTGAGGCTGCCAGAGTTCACTCTCACCACTTGGACCACCAGAGCTTCCCCGTGAACCACCAGGGATAGTATTGTCTCCCCTCTCAGAAAAAGGTGAGGGGGATATCAAAATTATTCATTTTTTTTTTTAAATTAAAATAAAAGTATAAGTTTATCTGCCCTTCTACCCCCACAGACCCACATTAACTCCCCTATGCACACAATTACCCCCTCCATACACACACACTACCCCCCATACACACTGTACCTCTCACACACTGCCCCCACACACACACAGTACCCTTCATACAACCTGCCCCTACATACACACACACAGCAACCCTCACACACACATACTGCATCCTTCACAAACACCATGAACTCCCGTACATTCACTGCACCCCTCACGCACACTGCACCACTACTGGCTTGTTATTTTAAATAATCTACCAGTGCCCCTCCCAAGATTAGGTTCTGGATCTGTGCTTGAACGGCAAGCATTTCTGCCGAACAGGGGCCCAGTATATGCCGCTGCGCTGTACCTATATACAACCTAGAAAATTGTTAAATTATGTAAAACATATCCTAGTGATGATATTGTCAGTGAAAGTGACGTTTTTTGCATTTTTCACACACAAACGGCACTTTCACTGATGATATTGTTGTGATACGTTTTACTGTTTAGAAACACTAATATTTGTGTTCAGTGAAGTCTCCCGAGTATAACAGTACTCCCCATTATACAGGTTTTATAGTGTTTTTGAAAGTTACAGTGTCAAATATAAAGCTTGGTTTTCCATTTTCTCACATTGAAAATTGCCAGATTGGTTATGTTGCCTTTGAGAGCAAATGGTAACCCAAGAATGAGAATTACCACCATGATGGCATACCATTTGCAAAAGAAGACAACCCAAGGTATTGCAAGTGGGGTATGTTCAGTCTTTTTTAGTAGCCAAAGTTAATGTTTTTTGCATTTTTAACCCACAAACAAAAAAATGCTAACTTGGGCCAGTGTTTGTGACTAAGTGGCTTCTAAAAAAGACTGGACATATTGAATATCCTGGGTTGTCTACGTTAAAAAAATATGTACATGTGAGGTGTGATTCAGAGATTTATGACAGATAATAGTGTTACAATGTCACTATTGATACATTTTAAAAATATATATTTTGAAACAGCAATGTCCTACTTGTACTTATAGCCCTATAACTTTGCAAAAAAAGCTAAGAACATGTTAACATTGGGTATTTCTAAACTCAGGACAAAATTTAGAAACATAGAAACTATGTTTTTGGCGGTTGTAGATGTGTAACAGATTTTGGGGGGTCAAAGTTTTAAAAGGTGTGTTTTTTAAAAAGTTTTCATCATATTTTATATATTTGTTTAGAGTAAATTATATGATATGATGAAAATAAAGGTATCTTTAGAAAGACCATTTATTCGTGAGAAAAATGGTGTATAATATGTGTGGGTACCATAAATGAGTAAAAGGTAAAATACAGCTAAACACAAACGCAGAAATGTAAAAACAGCCCTGGTCCTTAACAGTGAGAAAATTGAAAAAAGGTCTGATCACTAAGGGGTTAAAGGTGAATTACAAATTTAAGATCAAAATAGCCCGAATTGGAAATATTTCTCTGTTAGCAATGTTTTTTAGTTAGCTACTCTGGCATAAAATTTGAAATTCACTTGAATATTTATTCACTTTAGTGAATAACTCTGTAAAATTGCTTCATTACCCTAAAGTTGTTTTTTTGATAGAGTATCCCGCAAAATGGACCTTGGAATTGGCACATAACATGTCCTACAATAATGATTGATTATGTATGCATGTTGCCCTTTTCAATGAAAAAAAAAAAGATTTAGAAATTTTTATTATTTCTGTGGAAGTATGTGTAGTCTCTCAGAGGAACACCACGTGCTTCTAGCAATGTCAGAAGAAGCTGTGAATAATTATATATTTTCTTTTATGTGACATTATGCGACAATGGAATACTGCCAAAAGAGCTTTTCATGCATGGCACAACAGCATGATTTGTTTGTATGTGACCTGCAAATCTGTGGGATTTATTCCTAGAGCAGAAATCGTGAAGAAGAAATAAATGAATTACTGAGGCGAAAATGGCCAAATTGGAAAAAATCTCCAACGCCATTTTAGGATTTTGCAATTGGCGTAAAATGTGCAACTACTGTCATTCCTGTGTTAGTGATGATTCTACTGGTCATCTAGCAAATATATTAGTTAACATCATTGATGTGCACACGGGCTGTGCCCAGGGGCATTTTAATGCACAGATTAATTGCACATGCTGTCCACAAAAAGAATGTGTCCTGATGAAAGTTTGCTAAGTGAACTGAACATCGACATCTTTTTGTTTTGTAATAATTAAATAAGTTTTACTTATACACCATATCAGAAGTCCTTTGAGTGCTATCACTATATTTGTTTATATCTATTGTCGAGCAGCAGCAGGCCTTAGAATGGAACTACCCTAAACTGAACTCCCAACAGATGCTTCATTCTCTCAGTATCAGATGAAGAGAGGTACGGATCACAGATAAGTAGACAAACCATTAGCAAACAGTTTGACTACTTACATCAGGGACAGGCGCCATAACCACTACAGTATGGCTGTTATGATGCTTTGAGTATTGCTTTAATTCCCCTTATGAACCTATATTTTCATTGTAGCAGAGGATATCTGCCATATTTATTCACACATGATCAGAATATTTCACAGATGCCACTTCTTTTCTTTCTTTCTTTTTATATATGTAATATTCAAGATATGATTTTGTGTTCATAGACACTTCATAAATTGATGGAGTGCAATATTTGTTTCTTTCCCAAGTTAGACTTGTTGAAATACATATGTTGATGGCCTATAAGAGCCAATTGGCCAAGCTATTCTGCCAATACCCTATTTAATTAATATTAATATTCTTGACTTCATATTACATTATATAACTGAGAATATGCAATGTTAAACAAATCAGCCACAAAATTAGCTTGATGAATTTTCTTATATGTTGTTAGTAGCAAAAAAGCCTGTTCAACTAGAACGTTACATTATAAATGCATGTGATTGAGGTTTAGGTGCTATGTCCTATGGCTGCCTGCCCAGTGTATTGGTTCTGTCCAAGTCTTTAACTTTTATTTCAGTCTCAGCTAGCCCTCTTCATTCCAAGATCACTAAACATCCAACATTCACAGTATCCTGATGATCTTTCCGACACTACTTTACAAAACTGAACACCAGATATTATCTATTCAATGTAAGGAATAAAAGAAGAGAAACAACTGCATTTTTCATTGCCAGGGTAGGATTAGCTTTATTGTCGAGAGATCCCCGGAGCGCTTGCTACAGTTGTGCAGGTGCTGTTAAAGAAGCAAACAGGATATTGGTAGCATTGCAAGAGGAATGTAACAATTTATGTCAAGAAGCATCTTCCAACAATCTGAGATCATTATTAATGCATAGAAATCATGATGATGCACATGCTCGGGTTATTAGAAAAACAGAATGAGGTGGACTATGTCCATAAACAGTAGATCAGTAGCCCTCAGGATTGGTGGTGATTTAAAACAATAAATGTAGGATTAATTCTAGATAGTGAGGACGAATAAGCAAGGTTTGCAGGGATCTAGAATAGATTCATCTATGTAGCCTAAAGGAAGTTTATTCCTCAGGACCCTCAACAGGGGTGATTTATCTATTTCTTCCCACATTACCACAGGAAATCGGTTAACAAGTAGTACGTCTGTTCTAATAATTCTGGCACCATGCAGCTTGTTGTTGCTTTCCTGACTGTTTTCATAAT